TGTCTGTGCACCTGGGTGTCTGTGTCTTGGGCGTCTGTGTCCTGGATGTCTGTGCCCTAAATGTCTGTGTCCTGGGCATCTGTGCATCTGGGTGTCTGTGCCCTGGGTGTCTGTGTACCTGGGTGTCTGTGTCCTGGGTGTCTGTGTACCTGGGTGTCTGTGTCCTGGGCATCTGTGCACCTGGGTGTCTGTGCCCCTAGGCGTCTGTGTCCTAGATGTCTCTGTCCCTAGATGTCTGTGCCCCTGTGACCCTGAATGTCTGTGCCCCGGGCATCTGTGTCCCTAGATGTCTGTGTCCCTGTGACCCTGGATGTCTGTGCACCTGGGTGTCTGTGCCCCTATGCCCTGGGTGCTAGGTATCTGTGCCCTGGGCATTTGTGCCTCTGGGCATCTCTGTCCCTGGACAAATGTGCCCTAGACATCTGTGCCCCTGGGTGTCTGTGCCCCTGGGTGTCTATGTCCTGGGTGTCTGTGCCCCTGGGTGTCTGTGCCCCTGGACAAATGTGCCCTAGACATCTGTGCCCCTGGGTGTCTGTGCCCCTGGGTGTCTGTGCCCCTGGGCATCTCTGTCCCTGGACAAATGTGCCCTAGACATCTGTGCCCCTGGGTGTCTGTGCCCCTGGGCATCTCTGTCCCTGGACAAATGTGCCCCAGACATCTGTGCCCCTGGGTGTTTGTGCCCCTGGGCATCTGTGTAAGTTGGGGAGCAGTTGATCAAAGGATCCTGGTGTTTTCACCCTGCCTGAAGACCCTGGGCCAGAAAGCACTTGTGTCATTGGTGTCCATGGAGATCCAACACTGACATTGTCATAACCTTCTTATCCCCTTCACCCACCCCAGTTCATTTTGGGAAAGGAGTCAGGGTCTTCCCTAGGATCTGACCTTCCCTCTTCCCCCTCCTCCCACCTGGCTATGACCTTCATCTTCCAGGGCTTCTGTCCACAGAGCCGGGATCTCTCCCTCTATGTCCAAAGGGGACAGAGCACAAGGAATTGTCCCTCTCCTGCTGCTGTCCTCTGTGTCTGTCTGAACTGCCCAGGTCTCAGCCACAGAATTCCATGAGGCCCCAAAGTGTGACTTGTCCCATTTCTCAAGCCCATTTTTTAAGTTTTCAAATTATTATTCCTTCTGGGGATCACACTGAAGCTTCCCAAAGGGAGCTCACTGAGGCTGCAGTCATGGCTGCCTCACATCTTACATGTGTCCTGGAGGTACTGAAAAGTAGTGGCAGGCCATGTGGGCAGACATGGACCTCTGCGGACACACACCAAGGGCAGCAGGGACTCCCCCGGGGTGCCCTCTGAGGCCTGCCCCAGGCACCCACCGCCTTGCTGAAGTTGACATGGATGAGGTTGGTGACTGGGTCCCGCTGGATGAGCGGCTGGCCCAGGTTGAAGTGGCAGTCCTGGTCCACGCGCGCCACCCACTGTTGGTAGGCCTTCTGCCGGCAGTCCCTCAGCAGTGTCATCATCTCGTCGTACTTCTGGTAGACCAGGTTGGCCTCCACACTGGACATGACCCTGGGACCAGAGTGGGGTGGCGGTGAGGCACCAGGCCTTGCCTGGACGTCTCCTCCCGCACTACTGCTGCCAGAGCGTGGGCACCTAATGGTCTGAATGTGCGAAGGGACAAAGGCCAGACCAGACCTAGCACAGTCTGACCTGCTGTCTGCAGCCAGTCCCAGGAGTCAGGCAATAAACCATGGCTGCCATCAGCCCCACCAGGGCCAGGACTTGGCTAATCCCTGCCAGCTTCCCCCACTTCTGACTCCTGGCCAGTCACTCCGGAGGCCCGATGTCCAGCCAGGTAGGCTGGGGGCCCTAGGCCGGGGCTTGCCCATAGCATCCCTGCTCCACTGTCAAGCTTTGCCTTCCTGCCTGCGAGCATGACAGTGACCGTGGCCCCGCTGACTCTAAATAGCCTCCACTTGTTCCCATTGCAGGGAGGTGTGGGGGAACAGGGGTGGGTGATCTTTGTTTATTTCTACAAGGCTGACAGCCGAGAGTGAGGACACTCTCTGAGAAGGTGCACAGGGAGGACAGGGGACATGGACAGGGCTTTGCTTTGGGAGGTAAAGGTTTGGCCAACAGGAAGTGAGGGGCTGTCAGGATTGGGAAGGCTCCTCTCTCCCTGCCCCTGCACGCCCTGGCCCCTCCCTCTCCACCCCTGCACACCCCCAGCCCCCCGCCCCCAGCTCCCCGCGGGCAGAGACTCACGGGTGGTCAATGTGCTTCAAGTGCCTCATGGACACCTCCAGCTTCTCCTGCAGCTCCAGGCTCCACTTGAGCTGCCCGGCCACAGGGGGCATGTTTTTGTGGATTGGGGGGATGTTCCCCTCTGCAGAGGCTGCCATCTGGGCATCGTACAAGATCTTGGCATTGTCCAGTTCGGTGTTAAACATCTCCAGCATGACTGAGTACTTGGGCACCACCTCGGTGAGGATCAGAGGCCGCTCCAAGAGGCTTCCGCACATGTACAGGAGCTGGGGAGAGCCGGGGAAGTGGCATCTTTGTCAGATTCCCCACCACTTCCCCATCCCTGGGACCATCTCCAGTCTGTGGAGCAAGAGAACAGAAGCCTGGAGGAAACAGAAGGATTCATTTGAACCTGCCCCCGGGCAGCAGCTGGTTAGACAGAGGCCCTGTGAGTTTTGCGTTGGCAGGTGGGGAGTCTCCACATGCTGGGCTTGTAAACCAGCGGTACAAACTGGACCCACAGCCTAGAAACATTTATTCCAGGCCCAGGAGAAACCAGGATTTGAGTAAAGAAGATTTGAGCAATTAGAAACACAACCGGACAATTAAAAAGTCATCACAAGACTGCATTGGTATGCCCAGGCATCTGACAGCCGTGGGGAGGTGTGCTTGCTTAGGAAGAGCTCTGTCGAGGCCGGAGCTGGTGGGACCACCGTGTGGAAATTTGTTTGTACTAAAGGAGTTCTGGGGGACCTGAGGACAGGCAAGGTGGCAGGGGAACCACAGAGGGAGGGTCTTACTTTGCATGGGGCCTCCTGATGGCTAAACTCACCAGTGCTGAGCCTGCACTTCCGGGAGGCTGCTGACACAGGTGCCTGCAGAGGGGAACTGCCTGAAGGTCAGATTTGACCCAGACTGTGGCTTGACAAATACGACCACTGTCCCTAAAAATGGCTCTTGGAGGAAAGACTGAAACATGACTACAAAGAATGGAAGAGTGATTTTTCAGGCCCCCAAAAGTCACACAGAGCAGGCCAAGATTCTCCGGGGGGCGTGGGGGCCCTGGGGTGTAGCCAGCCACCTCACACCACTACAGGGCAGGGCAGCTGCAGACAGGTGGAGTTGCTGCCTCTATGTCCTTTTTCCTCCCAAAATTGACATGTGACAGTTAGGAAAGAAAAATGTCCCCATTACTGGGTTGTGACCCTCCTGGTTTTTTCCCCTTCTTTTCATGTTTACATATTTTTTGGCCTATGACTTCTGGGGAGGAAGGTCATTCTATTTTCTGCCAAGAGATCACATAGGAAATTTGCTCCAGAACCTTCCTGGCTGTGTGTGACTTGCTGACAATGGGAACTTGTTTGGGGACATTCAGGGAAGGGGTGGGGAGGATTGGGGGAGGGAGGGGACCCCAGGGTTGTCAAGCATGGGAGAAATGTTCTTAGGTTGAAGAGAGACAGGAACGGATAGAGGCAGAAATGATTACAAGAGTTAATTTCCTCCTTTTTTCCTTTTTGTTTTTCTAGCATAAAGTCAAAATTTTTTAAAAAGACTTTTTTCTTCTTTCTTTCAGAGCACAAAAGCCAAAGTCAGCCCTAGCAGGGGAGGGATGAGCTTCCCAAGAAAGCCCGGGTAGACTAGCCGAGTTTGTTCACCCCGGGGCCTGGCTCCTTCCTGCAGGGGCGACTGAGTTTCTTCCCGCCCACCTGCTCCTGGCAGAGTCGGGACCTGAGACTCCGGTCAGTGCAGCCCCTTCCCCTCAATACCCCGTGGAGCTGTAGCCTGGGGGGGACACTAGTCCTAGTCTGTTCATCCCCTTGCTCCAATCCACATTTATGGAGCAGGAGAAACTCCGGGGCCTTGTCCTGCCCTGGCCTGGCCACCTTCCTCTTCTGACCTTCCCAAGCTCCTTTCCTGCCCGTACAACTGGGAGTGACGCACCTCCTGGTGGGGCCGCTGTAAGGTTGCCGAAGGTGACCCATGCTAGCTGCGTGGCCTGCCTAGGCTCTTCACTTCTGGAGACCCAGTCACAGGGGAGGGGCTCTTCTGCACTGGGGGAGCCCCTAAAGCTTTGTGTTAACGTCTCTGGCTGCATGCCTGTCTGCGAGGGGAGGGACGTCTCCAGAGTGAAGCCAGCAACGTGGCCTCCCAGCAACATCCAGAATCACCACCATCACCACCCCCAGCCAGTCCCAGAGGTGCCTGCCTCATGCTGGACTCTGTTCTAGGTGAGCTCAAACAAGCCCCTGCCCTCGGGGAATTTCCATTCTAGCTGGGAAGACAAAGACCTGAAAAACATTACCACACAGCAGAACACAGGGAGGCCAAGCTGGTTAGAGCCTGCCAGCCAGAGAACCCAGCGACCAGTGATGCAGCTGCCTGGGGCAGAGTCTTCCAGGGAAGGGAACAGTGAGGAAGGTTCTCTGCTCGGCCACTTTGTCTCAGGCTTCTAACCCTCCTCCCAGACCTGTCTGTGCATGTCCTTGTAAAATCCAATTTTAGCAAACAATCTACTAAGTCAAGTCAGCAGGAAGCCCCCTCCTCAATTTCTGGTCACCATATCTGATGACCTTGCTCACCACTGGCCACAACCCCCCCAGGGGCTGTCTGGTCACCTGGCCTGGCCTGGCCTGTCATCAGCAGGAGTCCTTTTGGGCTGGTTTGGTCAGACTTCTCCAACCCGGTTTTCCTCTTGGTAATTTTCCACCCACTGACCCCCACCTTGCTCCCTGGCTGTAAATTCGGGCTTGCCCGTGCTATATTCATAACTGAGAATAATTCAGAATTGAGCCCAAGCTCTCCCCTTCACTGCAAGAACCGGCTGTGGGGTCCCTGTACCTACTGCGATGATCCTGAATAAAGTCTGCTTCACCTTGCTTTAACAAGTCTCACTGAACACTTTTTCTTTGGTAAGCGAGAAAGCGCTGTATTCATCTGCATTCATTGGTATTTTGCCTCAAGCATCAACAGGACTCAAGACTCAACTGATCATCACATTTGCAGAGCTTCCAGTTCCTATGTATTTGCATTTTTAAAAAGAATATTTTAAAGGCAAAGAAACATCTTGCCATTTGCCTGGAAGAGATCTTTGTGCTGGGGTGCTTTGTGCTGGGTTCCCAACCCAGCTCCAGGACATGTAGCCCAGCCAGAAAGATGACCAGCAGCCTGGGCTGCCCGGGCCCATCCAGTCACCTCCACAGTCATGGGAGCTGCTCTGGCCAGGTGGTTCAGCATGGGGGATTGGATGCCATCTCAGAGCTGTTCTGGGATTTGGGTTCCTCTACTTACTGGATGGCTGTACAAACTTCAGGAGCTTTCTTGACCCATCTGAGCTGGTAAAATAAGGTGGATAATGTAGTTAGGGAGCTTAGCCAGGGGCCCAGGTTGTCGTGATAATTAAGTGAGATAACGTAGGACGGAGCAGAGTGCCTGGGACCACAGACCCTCCGCTAGCAATCGCTAGACCTCTGCGGTGGGCATCCCACTATCTGCAGTAACCCGGAGGCTTGCAAGCTGGAGGAAAGACACAGCTCTGAGGTTCACATTGACAAACACGCATAATAATAAACAGAGAAATAAAACAAGCTACTCGAGCAAGTACCTATATTTGAGCAAGTACCTATATTTATTCACTTAAATATTGGATACTTGTTCTCCGGATAAGCTGAAGCCACACACACTAAATCCTGCCGTGACTCTGCCATCGGTTGTTGACAGGGGCCAGGTAGGCCCCAGTGAATGCATGAAAAGGGACTGGGCCAGGACAGTAAGGAGTGGTGGGGACTGGGGCAAGTTGGAGCACTCGTGGTCAGGATGGGGACCCACTCAGACCCCCGTGTTGGTATGAAGATTATTTCAAACTAAGCCTATTTGAGATTGAAGGGACACAGAGAGAAGCTACTGCCATTAATCCCCTCAGGAGAGTTGCATTGCCAGGAATAAGACCTGCATAAACAAACACCCCACCAGCTGTCCTATCCGCCCTTTGTTCTCCTGAAAGTCCATTTGCCTTTCCTTTAAAACAAAGCCCTTGCTTTTCCATAGAAGCCCTTTCTCCCCCTTCATTCCCCCAGTGGAGTTGGTGCCTAAACCCCCAGTCTCCAGCAGTCCAGGGAGCTGCTGCTTTTGTGCGAGCCACATGCACACAAATAAATGCAAATAAACTGTTTTTCCTCCTGTTAATCTGTCCTTTGTTAGATGTTTCTGAAGATTTGAGCTGGAGTAAAAAAGTGAGTAAGCAACAAGGGGGTTTCAAGAAATGCCAGGGGTGTATGGGAAGCAACCTAACAAAACTAAGAAATGAGAAGTTCGCCGGATGGGTTACGTGGCCAGCCAGACACAGCCAAGAGAGAATTACTGAGCTGGAAGTCAGAGCTGAAGGCATGACTCAGAAGTCACAGAAGAGGGACCAGGGAGATGTGAGTTGTGAGCGACTAGGAGACACGAGGGCAGATTGAGGTCTGCTGTGCTGTCTGATGGGTCTAACTGAAATCCTAGGAGGAAAGAACAGCAGCAACTGGGGAGATAAAGAGACAGAGGCTGAACAATTCCCCGAACAGCTGAAAGGCCAGAAAACACGGAGAAAGCAACACCCTTAGCTCATGAAAGGCGAGCAGGGGAAGTCCACGCCTACCTACCTCCTGAGGACGGGAGGCGGGACACAGGCTCCAAGTCACGACAAAGACCAGACCAACAGTGATTTAAAGGCCCAGGTTATACGTATCATTGGTTTATGGTCCCCCCACAGGGTGACATCACTGCTTAAGCCGTCCAGTCTATGGCATTTTGTGACAGACACTCAATTCAGCACGGCGAGTCTGGATGTGTGTACATTTGATGGCAACTTGGCCTCTCTGTAACCTTCGCTCTTCCCAAGTAGTGGGAAGTTGAATCAGTGAGAGTAAGTGGACACCTTTCTCCTCAGAGAGCAGAGGGCAGTGCAGTAACTGAAGCAACTCATTTTTTCCACTTCCTCTGGGACATGGCCATGACAACCATCAGAAATGACCCTGGCGGTCATCACTGGCTGGCCCTGAGACCGCCTCTCCTCACCTCCAAGCGGGGCCACCTGATGGCACTCAGCGTTTGGGGGGCCCATGGGCACTCACCTTCGCAGAGGACTCGATAGAGCAGCAGTCATCAAACGCTTGGCAGAAGATTGTGGCCAGCCGCCTGTCCAGGTCTTTAATTTTGGTCTCAAAATCAGCATAGTCGTCGTCAAAACTCTAATAAAAGTAAAGGAAAAGGCCAACCTCGTCATGGGCGTACAAAGCAAGTCAGCCTCCTCCCTGCCAGGCTGAGCATGCCTCCCGCCCTGAGGCGGCTCTGTGGGCAGTGTCCACAGTGCAGGGACTGCCCGGCACGGCTTCCAGTATGCGTCACCCCACTCCTTGGGCGTGAAGTCCACCAGGCCATGCCCGAGGACGTACCGAATCTCCAGGGTCCAAGGGATCATATCTGCAGTCGGCAAAAACCTTGACTAGCTCAAAGACTTCTTCGTAGATCTGGGTCACCAGCTTCCCGAGGATGTTCCCCTTCACACCCCCCAGCTCGATCTTCTCCAGCTTCAGAAACTCAATAGCTGTTTTGTAAAGATTCTGGGGGAGGGAGAGAAATAATGCACTTAGTCAATTCATCTGGCTTTTTGTTATTGTTCGAGATGGGGTTTCACTCTGTCACCTGGGCTACAGTGCAGTGACCTCATCGCAGCTCACAGCAACTAAACTTCTGGGCTTGAGTGATCCTCCCACCTCAGCCTCCCCAAATACTGAGATTACAGGTGTCAGCCACCATGCCTGGCCCTCATTTTCTTTCTTTCTTTTTTTTTTTTTTGTGGTTTTTGGTTGGGGCTGGGTTTGAACCTGGCACCTCTGGCATATGGGGCCAGTGCCTTACTCCTTTGAGCCACAGGCGCCACCCAAGCCCTCATTTTCATAATCACACTTAAGGGTCCAGTTACAAAATCAGCTCTGACTCCAGCCAAGAGAAGCCGGGGAGTGAAATACCCCCAGGAGACCCAACCGTGGGGAGGCCCCTCTGTCCATCTGTGTTGATGTGTTTTAAGCAGAAGCTCTGTTACCTGACAGAAGGAAGGGCCCTGTGAATCATCTCTGAGTTACAGACAAGGAGGATTTGAAGAAGGTGGGCCCCTGCACTGGCCAAAATACATCGGTAAATACACCATTGTTACTGAACTCTCTGTCCCCTCAGGATGGGAAGCAGCGGGAATGGGCCTATAAGGCTTCTGACTCTCTCGCCCAGCTTCACACCCTCTGCTACCTGGAAGACCACCCCACGCTGTGAGCGCCTCCCTGAAGGTGACCCAGAGGGCAGCGCCAGGGCTCAGGTGTGGACGTGTAGAAAGTCTGTTTCCCCTGGTGAGGCTCACACTGCTCTCTTTGAGGCTTCCTCAGCCACTTCGGCCTCCGCGATGCTTTCCTCCCCAGAAGCCCAGTCAACTGTCTGGGCCCTTGGTTTTGCCTTTAATCCCTGCAGGCCCATCTCACTAGCAGCCTCCGTGCCAGCAGTTCCTGTTTCCCAAACAAGATCTCCAAGGTCCCTCAGGGGGCCTTAGTGCCTTGTGCTTCTCTGGGTCCCTCCGCGTGCCAAGCACAGTGCCAGGCAGTGGTTAGAACTAAAGATGCTCCTGTGGGATTGGTGTCATCCCCTAAGCCAGCACTGAGCTTGGGGTCATTCTCTCCAAGAGTCTAAGGCGTGCCGAGCCGTAAGACCAAAGCAATCCCAGAAAAGGCACAGGCTTGGCACACTGGGGGCTCTCGGATTTTTCTGCCCAATGAGGGGGACAACATTGGCCAAGGCTGGCATGCCGGCCTAGCCCGCTTGGCAGGAGTGGACAGGAAGCTGCCTCCCCACCATCTAAAGCAGGCGTCCTCAAACTACGGCCTGCAGGCCACATGCGGCCCGCCTAGGACATTCATCTGGCCCGCAGGGTGTTTTTGCCGCCACTGCCTGTCCTGCTTAGCAGCTGACTCATCCCGGGGCCCACAGTCGAGCCCTCCAACGGTCTGAGGGACAGTGAACTGGCCCCCTGTTTAAAACGTTTGCGGACCCCTGGTCTAAAGTCTCCCTTGCCCTAAAACTCCATCTTGACTCAGAATCTGTAACGTAGGAACCAATAGCAACTTGGTCAGAGAAACTCAACTGTGACCTTCCAAGTTCTCAGGCTGGGAGATCTCAGGTGTGAATAAAGATTCCGCAGCTGAAATTTTGGAGTCCTAAGTGGGCCTTCCCCCTCCACCTCCCAGAGGCTGCAGATGAGAACCAGACAGGCCTTTCCCCCGCCACTGCTACCAAGGTCCAGCTAAATCAGCCCTCGGTGGTTCCAAGAGGATTCTGCCCCCCTTTTTCATGATGTGAATTATATGTGCACAAAGTAAAAAAAAAAAAAAAAAAAAAAATCCCACCAGGCAGAAGAAACAAAAGGCAAAACTATCTTGCCCTTCCCAGAGAAAACCGCTCAAACCATCTTTAAGCTCTAAGTTGCCGAATGTCGGAGTATCAGTTCTCCTGAGTCCTCATCTGTAATGATTTTGTCCTTCTGAGGCCTGCCTTTGGCCGCCAGCTTCCAGATAATAGCCCTTTAACTCTTCATCAACTTGCTCATTCCAGCAGGCCCCAGATAAAGGCGGTCTTGTCAAGGTGGCCACTGCCAGTCTTGGCTAACAGCTGAGGCTGGAGGAGGCTGCCCACCGACTCCCGCCCCACAGTGATGTCTGCCCCAGATCTCCATTTCCCTGCGTGGCAACCGTTCTAAAGCAGATAAGGAAGGAAGACGCAACTGTGCTTAGCTGAGAGCAGTCTGAGAAGAGCAGTGAAGATGAACCAAATTTTGTTTTTTACCTCAATGGTTTGGACACGGCGGAAGAAGGAATTCATTCTGGAAAATGCCAGGGAAGAAGGGAATTCCCAAGGCACCGGTTCTTTGTCCTTTCGGGAAAGAGAGAGAGGAGAGAAAAGGCTGTGTTTGCTTCAGATATTCCCCGGTATTACAATGTCGGGGGCAGGACGAACTTGGCCTTGTTTTCACCGCGCCTTTTGCTCCGCAAAGCAGGACGCACCTTAAAGAAGAGCTTCATGTTTGCGCAGCAGAAGTCGTAGGCGCGGTAGAGCTCCTGCAGGACGTTCACCGACAGCGAGATGCCCAGCAGGACCTCCTCGATCTCGCCCTGCAGGCCTTTCAGCACCTCCTCTGGGCTCAGGTAGGTTCGTGTCTGGACAAAAGGGGAGATGGACATCCCAGGCTCTCACAAGCCGTCTGGTGTGTCTGGGGGCACTGTCCACAGGCCATTTGCCTGATTCACAACAATCCATGTGGGGACCGTGATGGGTTCTGACACGTGTACTGTCTCCTGGGCACAGGACCCCCTCTGCCTGACAGCTGCTGGGACATTTTGGGGGGAAATGAGGCACCTCTGTGGTACCTCATCCCATGCCAAAGCTGATCCCATCCCAAAAAGAGGTTTGGGTCCCAGAGGATCAGGAGCCCTCCAGGGACAGAGGACCCACTGCACCCTCTGGTCCTGCAGACAGGCCACAAGCACAATTTTGATATGTGCAGATGGCTTGCTAAGGGATGCGTATGAAGAGGGAGGCAGGAGATGGCCAGTTAAATCCCACGAAGCTCCTGGCTGAGCCCCAGGTGCTGCATGTCTGGGGCAGAGTCTCCCATTCTGTCCCTTCTTCCCTGTCTCCTCCCGCCCTATCTGGAGTGGGTGGGGCAGGGTGCGGCCCAGGTCCTGGGAAAATTCTAGGTGGCCACCAGCAGGGCTCCACCCCAGCTCAGGACCTAACAACACCCATGCTGACAGCATGAGCTGTTTCCACCCTGCTGGGACCCCGTGGGTGTGGGGAGGAGGGCAGGCTGCAGCCGGCAGGGTTACCATCTCGATGATCTGGTTGCAGAATTCCTGCAGGATGACGATGGTTCTGGAGGGCGTGTTGTAGTGCTCGGAGGTGGCCCAGATGAAGGCGATAGTGTCCAGCACCTTGGCAATGAAGGTCGGAAGCTGGGGAGAGATGGGCCAAGCATCCATCCAGTCACAGCAATGCAGCTCTCACAGGGCCTCCGGGAGAGGGTTTCCAGGGGGAGACAGAGTGGTGCCCAAGGCCCTTAGCCTGATCATAGCCCAGGATGTGACCCCCCACATACGCAGAAATGGCCACCCCAACCCCCTGGGTGTACCGCGGTGAAGTCAGCCTGCTCCATCTCCTCCAGCAGCACCCGCAGGGGCTTCAGGTAAAGCACGATGTCCTCAGCCTCTTTCAGCCCTGCACACAGGAGAACCAGGCATGTCAGCCCAGAGCTCCACTTGCTCCTGGGACCTGCTCCTTCAAGAAGCAGCTTCTGTCTGCAAAGGAGGCAGGGGAGGCAGACACCACCCACCCCAGCCCTGCCGTGGGCTTCCTGCCCCTCGCTGGGCCCAGGCCCACCTTCCGTGACGTTCATGTAGACGTTTTGCAGGGCTGGCCAATAGCAGCTTTTGGCCTTTTCCAGGATCTCCACAATCTTGTTCACTTTGGGCCTGTTTAGCTGAGGAGGAGAAGACAGCGTCTGCCTCCTGTGGAACCGCGGATCCCAGAACGAGGCCAGTCTGATCTCATGGCCGCAGGTCCTCGGGCCCTGGCTCCCGGGGGCACCTTAAGGCTGAGCAGTGGGATGTGGGGGCGGAGCCAGGAGGAACGGGAAGGTGCAGGAAGGATCCAGGGCGGAGCCGGGAGGAGGAGGAGGTAGTAGGGGGAGCCGGGAGGAGCCCCACCTGCTCGTGGATGCACTTGAGGTTCAGCAGACGGGCGTCCCAGAACTCAAACTCAACACGGGGAAGGGGGTTCAGCCCGTCCAGCAAGGCCTGGGCCGAGTCCTTGCTCAGCACATCCCGGATTTGGTGGGACCAGTCAATGATGATGGTTTCGATGGCATGCAAGAGAGAGTTGTCCAGTGTAGAGGGGAGCCTGCCAAGTGGACGGGGCAGGGGCCATTCTTACAGCCATGTGGGGAGATAGGGCAGGGGGGAGGTTTCCAGTGAGCCCTGCCCCCACCTAAGGGGTCTTCCCCTCCCCCCGACAGACTCCAGACCACCAGCAGCAGCAGCAGGTCTGATCTGAGGTCTTTGGTGCCCCCAGGCCACCTCTAGGAGGAAAGGAACTTCCTAATCTCCCAGCTGGGAGGAGAATGATCAGGCTTCAGGTGTGATCAGAGCCATACATGAGGGTGGGGGGGGGGAGCAGGGACTCTGGGATAAGCCCCATTCAGGATGGATCCTTCAGGAGATTCTCAGGGGGCCACCAGGCAGGCATGGTGGTTGGTGGAGGGCTTGCCTGCATGAGCCCCCCCAGGGACAGTCACCCCAGATGTGAGCACAAGCTATCGTGCCAATAACATTTTAAGAGTCTCCACTTGCAGGTGGAAATGGTGGCAGGGCAGGCACCAGGGGATATCTTGGGGTCTGGTGAGCTTCCCAGGGCCTCTTGTAGACCCGCACCAGCTGCTGGAAGTCCTTCCCACCCCACTCACTGCCCCTGAGAACCTGCCTGTTAAAGCTGAGTGTCCTGTGTCCTGCCACGTCAACAGTGTGGCCCCCTTTCCATACATGTGTGATCGGGGAGGGGCCCCAAGGACTGGAGCTGGGGTCCCAGGTGGCAGGGCCTGCCCCGTCCCACCCTGGGACCATCTACCTCAGGCCGGGCCCCTGTAATGGCACTGCCTTGCTTGTGGGTTTCGTTAGCTTTAAAACACAAAACAGGCTTGCAGTGGCACAGCCTGTCTCTCGCGGTGGTGCCTCCCCGCCCACCTCTCCATAGACTCCAGCGTGCCGTCCAGGCTGCCCAGGTGCTCGGGGATGGGCAGCAGCGTCTTCCCCTTGATCTTGCCTCCCATCACAAACATGTCATTCTTCAGCCGGTGCACCTGTTTCACGATGTCCTCCGAGACCACCCGGGGCCATTCGTCCATGTTCTCACTTTGGTTTAGCAGAGAATACAGGATCTGGAAGGAAACCCTTCTGGGGGTCTGCTGTACCACACCTCCCCCGCTCAGCCACTGAGAGGACCCAAGTGCCCAGGGGGTTTCGGAAGCCCCTGGTATCTGGTCCTTATTCCAAAGGAGGTGGGGCTGGTTGGGTGCTCAAACCAATGATGATGACGACTCAGCTCCCCTGTCTTTGTGGTGGCAAAGCCATCTCCAAGAAGGGGCACCCCACCCCTGGCAACCAGAGCACACACCCCAGTGCCTTGAGTACTGTGACAGTTAAACTGTTCCCCCAAAACACACATGCTGTAGCCCTAACCCTCAGGACCTGAGGATGTGACTGCATATGAAAGCAGGGTCTTTACAGAGGTAATTAAGTTAAAAATGAGGTCATTATGCTGGGTGCCTAATCCAGCAGGACACCCCTATGAGGGGAGGAGACCTGGACCCAGACACACTGTGAAGGACACCCACATGAGGCCACAGAAGGCAGCCGTCCGCAAGCCAACGAGAACATCACCCAGAATCAACCCAGCCGACACCTTCACATCTCCAGAATCGTGAGAGGAGAAACATCTATTGAACAAGGTGGGCACATCGGTCCCCCTTCCACAGACAAGGAAAACAGTGACCAGGAGGGGCGAGGAGCTCTGACTCCAGAGATCTAACTCCCGAAAGTGTGACCCCGTCCCCCCACACCTGCCAAGAGTGACACTGGGGAGGAGGCAGGACAGAGGAGGGGTGCACAAAATGGGTCCCTATTGCCCCCCTCTTTACTCAAAGTCTCAACACTCGGGAAACTTCTCTGTCAGTACACAGGTAGCTCACACCTCCCAGGGCCATGGGCAGCAACTGTGCCCAGCACACTGTACAGTCCTTCTAAGGGGGTCAGGAGAGAACAGGCTTCTGAGCCTCAGACGTGCAAGCGTCCACTCCTGAAAGCTCCCAGGGGATGCCACTGCCAGCAGCCTATGGGCCTCACTCTGAGCCACAGGGCTGGCGGCCACCCACTGTGAGTCACTCCAGGCCCCACCTCTGGCCTGGGCCAGCCCGATGCACACACCTCTTCCACCACTGCGATCAGCTGTTCCACGGGCGTGGGGCTGATGTCCCCGTAGAGGAGGCGGCTCTTATAGTTCTCCTTGGTGATGTTGTCAGGCCTTGTCTTGATGAAGTAAACCCCTTTGGACTTGAGGGACTCCGGGAAGCCCAGGCAGGGCACGATCATGCCGGCAGGGTTGAGCGTCAGCACCAGAACCAAAACGTCTGGCTTTTCAAAGAATTCTGTGAATAAGGCCATGTTCTCTTCTGCTCCAATCAGCTTGCTCCACTTGTCTATCTTGAACTTGAGCAGGACAGTGGCGACTTCCTCCAGGTACTCTAGTCTGACGTCTGAAATGGTCATCTTGACCTCTTCTTACACCACGGTTGTCTGTTGAGTGAACAGAGACACAGTTGCAAAACCCGGGCTTCCCCGCCGTGTCCTGCCCAGCCCTGGAACTGAGAGAAATCTCTGCTCCAACCAAGGAGAAAAGGGTTCATCATGAACATATGAATTAGCTGTGGGTAGGTCGCCAGCCGGGGGGGACAAGGGGTTGGTGGGCTGTGTGCTCTGGCTTTGCACCCACCCTGCTTCACCGTGAGACGTCACATGAGTTGCAGCTGTGAAGTTCGTGGATGGGAGACCCAGAAATGGACATTAGAGAGACAAGAAAAAGGACATGTCTGTCCAGTAGTGAGGGGTGTGCTGTGGGAAGACATCACACTCCAAGAACATGCCGAGACACAGAGAGGAGGAGACAGACCCAGCATGGCCTCCCCGTGTTAACCCCAGCTGGAGTGTACCCCCGCTTCTGCCCTGCTCTGCTCCCCTCCTGCCTCACCTCCACCCTATTCCTGCAGAGGGATCAGGCTGCAGATTTCCCATAGGTCCTCACCCACTGTTCACAGGCCCCCGGGAGAACCCCAGCGTGGGTCTCCCTTCAGTGCACAGGGCTAACCAGAGAGCTGGGGAGAAGGGGGTCCCTGGAAAGGACTCCCTGAAGTCCCAGAAGTGAGACCAGCAAGGCACTCCTTTGTGCTGTCGACACGAAATTTAAGGGCACACCCAGCCTCTCAGCAATCAAGGTACATGGTATGTCAATATTTAAAAAAAAAAAAAATTAGTGCTGCCAAATTCTTGATGAATAAAATATCAAAACTTCAATAAAGAGGGGGTCTTCAAATAAGAGGTTTGAGATGGGGAGGTAAGTCTGGCAGGAACAGGTAAGACCTGTCCTCCAGTGCGGGTGACAAGGGAAGCTGTCTTTTTATTCTAGCCTAGGTGGTGAGCAGCTCCCAGATCTGGGGAAGCCGGGCTATGTGTCTGGTCTGCTCCAGCAAGGACAGGTGTTGTCGGAGGCCCTCACCATGCCGCCTTTGGGTTGTCATTGCTTTTGAGATTGTGACCGTCTGCAGTTCCCTGAAAGACACTTACTCTGCAGAAGAGGGTGGCTATCACCCTCTCCACTGTGTTACAGTGAACCAACTAGATGCCGGGCAGCAGTGACATATAGTGTGCTATTAAGCAATCTGGACCTGTCCACAGCTCCAGGTGAAGGATCTCTAGGAGAGAACTCGGGGAATATGTCCCTCGAGCAGCAGAATCAGGGCAGGCCCTGAGCAGAGCTGTCAGATTCAGGAGCATCTGTGTGAAGAAAGGGGCCACCACCAGCACCCTGGCAAGTAGGAAGACAACACAGGCACCTGCCGAGTACAAGCCGCCTGCCAGGTCCTGTGAGGGCTTTGTGTGAGTGGCCACGCCGAGCTGGGCATCAAGGCAGGGCCAAGGATGCTGGGGAGCCCTGAGTCTTTGGAGGTAACGGATTGCGAGTCTTGCCCTGCTGGCCTCACCGCTGGATAGTGGGAAATAGCCTCCAGTTTACTGATTGTACAGATTTTTACTTTTACAAAATCAGCCTGAGAGGCCCCAAAGCCCCTCAAGTCTCTCGAAATCAGCCTATCTTCTTTCTTT